ACCATGCGCATGCTGGCAATGTGGTGACTGGCACTTCGTCAAATTCTGCCCGTTCAAGAAGCATCTTTGTCAGAAATGCAAAAAACGAGAGTACAAGCAGGATCATTGCCGTGCAGCCATTTCCAACGAAAACGTTTACACCAAACCTGCCAAGGTGTTTGTACCCACATCGTTAACCGAACAGACCTCACATTTATCCTGTCATTGTTACCTTCGATACAGAGACCGCAAAACGCAGGTTCGTAACAGTGGTTGTGAACTAGGTGCCCGTACGCCTCCAAGTTGACACTGCATCGGACATCACGCTCATTTCCGAGACAATTTGGAAGATAATCTGTGAGCCAGCTGTTCAAAGAACAACTCGGATTGCAACCAAGGCTTCAGGAGGACCGCTGGATTTGGCCGGTCAAATCTATTGTCATGTAATGTTCAAAGATTGTCAGGGATATGCTGCATAATGAAACATCCTGATTGGATTGAGAATATGAAACTGCTTGATGTTCTCTTGAATTCCACAAAGTAAGCGACGCATCTGCACTGTGGACGGAGTCTTTACAGCGGAAATATCTGCAGGTGTTTCAAGATGGTCTGGGATTGTGCACGAAAATCAAGGCCAATCTTTCCCTGCGGTCAGAAGCAAAGCCAGTCTTCCGACCGAAGAGACCAGTTCCAAATGCGGTGATTTCAATCGTCGACCTTGAACTTGACAGACTACAGTCAACCGGCGTTATTCAACCGACGAATTTCTCTTCATGGGCAGTCCCCATTGTGATTGTCACGAAACCAAACGGAAAGATACGCTTACGTGCAGATTACTACACTGGCCTGAATGGCGCCTTAGAAGACCCTCTCTGAGGACCTTTCTGCACGTCTGAACGGTGGTAAGTCTTTTATAAAACTGCACTTGTCAGACGCATATCTCCAGATTAAAATGTCAGAAGAATCGCGTGAATTGCTAACGGTTAACACTCACAGAGGATTATTCCAGTATACACGCCTACCATTTGGCGTTCAGTCGGCCCCGGCAGTATTTCAGCAGATATTGGATACGATGCTACAGGAAATACCTTACGCCGCTGCATACCTTGACGATATCATTACCATGGGATCTAACTAGGAAGCACTACACCAACGAACGGAACTCGTGCTTGACAGAATAAAGGAGTATGGTTGTCGCCTACGAATGGACAACTGTGAGTTTTTCATGACCTCCATTAAATACCTGGGCTTTATCATTGACAAAAATGGACGAAGTCCTGATCCATCAAACATCAAAGCGATCAAGGAAATGCCTCCACCGAAAGACGTAGCGACCTTGAGATCATCCCTGGGGATGGTGAGTTATTACGGTACCTACCTGCCGTCCATTCACGACCTACGCGGACCATTAAACCGGTTGCTGATAAAGGACGACCCGTGGGTCTGGACTACCGAATGTTAGGAAGCGTTCGACAGCATCAGATTGTTACTAAGCTCAGAACTGATGCTAACGCACCACGGTGCAAAACTGCCGATTGTAGTGCTATCGGATGCATTCAGCTATGGAGTTGGAGCAGTCATCTTCCACATTTTCCAACATCGGTCTGAGAAGCCAGTCGCTCGTGCCGCTCGTTCACTGACAGCAGCAGAAAGTATAATCAACTTGAGAAGGAGGCTCTCGCTATTGTGTTTGCAGTGAAACATTTCCACATAATATTATATGGCCGTCACTTTACCTTACTAACAGACCACACACCGCTTCTTGCTATATTCGGCTCGAAGAAAGGAATTCCTGTATATACGGCCAATCGTCTGTAGAGGTGGGCAACAACCTTGCTGGGGTACGATTTCAACATCAAGTACCCATCGATGAGCGACATTTGTCAGGCCGATGTGCTGCCACGGTTGTTAGACGAACATCACCAACCAGAAGACACTCGTTGCAAATTTCTCAACCGAAACGGAAATTAACCGTGTACTCTCGGATACTGTGAGCCAGCCTCCAATATCTTTCAGTCAGATTCGAGACGCCACCTTACGGGACCCGTTGCTGTCACAGGTGAGCACGTCTTACCACTCACAGTGGCCTCGAAAATTTTCCGACGCACAGCTACAACGATTGTTCCAGAGTCGAAATGCACTATAGGTCGTCGAAGACTGTATCTTGTCTGGTGAACGTGTCATCATCCCAGCCGAACTTCAATCTAAAGTCTTACATCAATTTCAT